GCGTGGGGGTGGGAAGATGAGAGAGGACGGGGGAGGGAGGATGGGCACAGGGCACGACTGAGACTACGCATGCTTCCTAACATTGACAAGAAAGAATGGTTAGGGACAGAGTGAGCACTGAAGAGGGGTCGCTGTGCGTTCTTGGGGGGTGGTGAGAGGAAGGATGTGTCTATACTCAGAGGGTTGGGTGTGTAGCTGTTGAGAAGAAGTGAGGCCTGTGGCCCAGGGCCAGCATTCAGAAGGTCTGTTTCACGGCCCTCTGAGGCTCACATCCATTGAGGAGAGCTTCAGCAGGGCAGATTGTACAGAGGTCAGGCAACTGAATGTTTTTGGTCAAGATGCACAAAGACAGTGCGAGAGATCCAAGGATTCCTGCAGGGACCCACACAAACCGAGAAGTCCTTATTTGTGGATCTGTGGCAGCTGATTGATTTTCAATGCTGCTAAATCTAGAATCACCATGGAAGGAAATCTCTAGGCCTGTCCGTGAGGGAGTTTCTGGGTTGGATTAATTAACGTGGGAGACCTTCCCTGAATGTGGACGGCAGCATCGTGGACTTGGGTCTAGAACTGACTAAAACAGAGGAAGTGAGCGGACACGGGCATTCATCTCTCTGCTTCCTGACTGTGTGACTGGTTGCCTCATGCTCCTGCGTCCACACCTTCCCCGCCACGATGGACTGCACTGTGAGCCAAAGCAAAGTTTCTCTTCCTTGAGTTGCTTAATTTGTTGGGTGTTCTGTCTCAGCAGCAGGAGAAGTCGCTGTTCCAGAACCCAAACCAGAGAGTCAGGGCACAGGAAAAAGAAATCTCATCTTGAATATGGACACTTAAAAATATGTCAGCTAGTCCGACTGTGGAAAGTAACAAAAGTTCCTGGTCGACTTGGGTTTGCCCCGTAAGCAGAAGAATTCCTCAGCATCCCTGTCTCTTGGGTGCTAAGGTGAGGTCAGGGATGTGGGTGGGCTTAGGGTGGGGCCTTGTTCCAGATAAGATTTGGGTGAGCACCTTCCAGCCAAGCTCCTGGGGCTCCCTGTGAACAAACTGAGGAGCCTCTGTTGACGGAGGAGATAACAAGAAGTGGACGGACAGGTGGGGATTGAGACATCAGCAGGTGTGGTGGGTGTTCTGGGTGAAGACAAAACCATGCCACAGGTGAGTTGTTTGCCAGTCACGCTTACTTCCTGGTGGGACAAATCCCTAGCCTGTTCTCTTGAAGTCCCCTGTTTTCCTGTTCTGCCCCTCGCTCGCTTCCCTGGGTAGCAGGAACATAGAAGGTCTGCTAACCGTGAGGTTCTTCTTGACTGCACTGCTCTCTGATGTAAGTTTTACAAATCCTGCCCTGATTTGGTTTATAATTAGACCCAATTCTGGAAGAGTTTGGAGAGAGTGAGCTTCTTCTATAGTGAATGGTTCCACCGCTATTAATTGCTTGTCTCTTTGCCACAATAAAATACCTGACAAGAGAAAGTAGGGGTTTATGAGGCTAGAAATTCAAGGGTCTAGCCCATCATGGCAGGGACGGCATGGCAGCAGAAGCATGAGGTGACAGTGTGCCCAGTCAGGAAGTGGAGCAGGTTGAAGACCTGCTCATTTTGCTTTCTTGTTTTTCATTCGGTCTGGGACTGCTCCCCACACCCGCCCCCCATAAGATGGTGCTGCCCACATCCAGGGTAGGTCAGTTAACCCAATCTAGAAACTCCCATATAGACATACCCAGAGGCTTACCTCTCCGGTCCACACCAGTATGAACCGTCACAAGGACTAAAGATAGGGTGATCTCATAAATGATGTAGAAAATAAAAAAAAGCCCATCCTAGTCCAGACTGCTGTCCCTTGGCCTTTTGTAAGAAGTCACCAGGTGTCATCTGTTGCTACAAGAGCTTTTGCCATCTGAGTCAGATGGGGTGTTAACTTCCCTGAGCGCCATTTGTTTCTAAGAGTTTCAGTGTGCTTGCCAGGGAGCAGTCTGGAGCCTTCGTGTTTAAACAACAGGTTCCTTGGCTTAGAAGTCTTTGTCTCTGAGGACGACGTGGGTTGTTGTCAAAATGCCCTGGCTCTATCTTTTCAGAATTTGTCATTCTTAGTCTCCCTGTAGAACTTGTTTGTGGGTCTTGTGAGCATCTCTAATACACCTTTGTTTAAATTTCATTACTGTTTATTGTGGTGCTGGAGTGTGCCTCAGTGGCAGACAGTGGTAGAGGCCTTGCCTGACCATGCACAGGGCCTTGGGTTGCATCCCTACCACAGAAAATAAACAAGAATACCATGTGTGTTTGTGTGTGTGTTGTTGTTGTTGTATCAACTTGCATGTGCGATAGGGTCTCACTATGTACCTGGAACTTGCCATGTAAACCATGCTGGCCTTACAAAGATCCCCCACCTTTGTCTCCCAAGTATTAGAATTAAATGCATTTGCCACCATGTCTGACCCCTATCTGTACATACACATACACACACACACACACATTTTATCCTATTTATCTTTAGATTTATCGTGTGTGTGTGTGTGTGTGTGTGTATGTGTGTGTGTGTGTACAGGTGCCCACAAGGTCCAGAAGAGAGCACTGGAAACCCGGATCTGGAGTTACAAGCACTTGTGAGCCACTGATGTGGGTACTGGTGATCTAACTCAGGTCCTTGGTAGAGAAGAATGCACCTTGAACCTTTGAGCCATCTCTCCAACTCCCACCCTTATTTTTGAGGCAGAGTCTCTCAGTGAACCTGAAGCTCACTGATTTGGCTAACACGGCTGACCAATGAGCTTCAGTGACCCCTTGTCTTCACTCTGACCCCGTGCTGGGGTTACAAGTAGAAGCCCTCACGTGGGTGCTGGGAGCCTGAGCTCAGGGTCTCAGGCTTATGCCCCCAGGGACTTTACTGGCTAAGCCATGCCCCTAACCCACCCTGTCTTATTTTTAAGAACAGATGAACTCCAAGGATGAGTGGCTACCTACTAATTTCATCCTTGCCTCCTTCCGTCATAATGACTGGTTTTCTTCTAAGTACAGTTTTATCAGCTGTGTTCCTTAAACTTCAATGGGACTCTGGGAGTAGGATGTATTTCTGTTTCTGTAATTGCTCCATTTTGAATTCCATTTCATTTCTGAGGTAACTATTCCTTGACCTCTAACTGTCTAGGATGTCTTTGCTTTGAGTTTAAAAGCATCTCTCTGGGTACCTTTCTTTGGTTTTCGGAGAGCATTCTGCTCAGATTAAAGTCTGTATGAGACAAGCAGACAGGGGTGCAGGAGACTTGTGTGAACAGAAGTTACCAGAGGAAAAAAAAAGCCACACCTTTGTTAAAGATTCAACAGGCTGATTGACTGATAACTGCTTCTGTGAGTGTGGGGATCTGGAATGTTGCAGGTCCAGAGCCAAATTAACTTGGGCAATCTTTAAAAGCCCCATAAAAAGTCATTTATTGACCGTCTTGTGTGTGACCTAACATCCTCATGACTATCAAGCAAATCATTTTGGATTGCATTGACTTGAAGGACCCCCTAGCTTCTACCAACCCAAAGGCTAAAAATGTCATCGGATGGCATCCAAGGCCTATAGCAGAGACTCCCCTATTCTTCTGTACCCCACCTACCTGATGTTTCCACCAATATACTTAAAAGGTGTACTTATTTGTGATGTTCTTTGTTCTGTTACTATCGAAACATCATAGAACTCTCTCTTAACCACACTGGTATTTGTAGGCGACCTGCATCTGACCTAGCCATGGTCACTCAGATGTGTCTCCAGAATAAACTGACTCTTGTTCCCTCTGAGTCATTTTATTGTTACTTATTATTATTATTTTAGACCAGTAATATTTGGTTTTACCTTATGTCTCTGAGATATCTAGTCTCTGGTTCTTGGTCACCCAAACAGCATCAAGTATGGATTCCATCTCATGGAATGGCCTTAAGTCAAATCAGACATTGGTTGGCTATTCCCACAAGTTCTATGCTACCATCGCCCTAGTATATCTTGTAGGCAAAATATATGTAGATCAAAGGGTTTGTAGCTGAGTTGGTGCTTATGTTTCTTTTTTGGTAGCCTGGAGAGTCTCTTCCTGTACCAAAGACACTAGAACAAGGTGAATGCTCCATGTAGGCTCCAGCTCAACTTCTCCATGTTCAATGAATTGTGTGGGTAAGCCTCAGCAATGAGACTCCACAATCAGTTTTTAGATAGCACCCATTGTCTTAGCAACAGCCTGGGTTGTTTGGGGATTTCCATGGAACCCCCTTCGCCAACAACTTAATTGAATGCAACCCAGTCTCAGTTCTGGAAGTCTTCTTTGGTGATGAGAGGGCCAGTTGAGGCTCCATCACTCCCATTATTAGAAGCCCTCATTAGGATTTCTTCATGCATTCTAAGAATTTTCCCACAGCACTAGGTTTCCATACCATCCCTCAAATGTCCCTCGATTCTAGCTGTCTCTTCCCCACATTCCATCCCTTAATTGAGCCAGGGTCTCTTTGTTACTGGAATTTGTGTAACACAGACTGGCCTCAAACTCCAGAACTTCCTTCCTTGGCTTTCCTAGAACTGGGATTATAGGTGTGCACCAGCACATCCGGCTAAGCACGTACCCCTAGCCTCTGACATCAAAGAGTGCCTTGAGGCTGAACCTCACCCACATAGAGAGGAGGTGCCCATCACCATGATGCACTCAGGAACCTGGAGGACCTTTGCTTAGGAGGAGAGACAGCAGTCCAAATCTGAGCAGCGGCCCAGAGACCGGTCTAGACAGATGTCCTTGTGCTTGTTGAAGTAGCTGAATTTATAATCAAAAGGCTACTGAAGAGGCTGAAGAGATGGCTCAGCTGTAATTAGGCTATATTGCTCTTGCAGAGGATTAAGTTGGGTACCAGCTATGTCAGGTGGCTGACAATTCCCTCTCATTCTAGCCCCAGGGAGTTTCAGTGCCCCCTTCTGGCCTCTGTTGGCCCCTGTATTCTCATGTAAACAGCCCACACACAGACTTACACATAAACACACAAAACTAAAAATAATAAAAGAAACCATTTTTTTTTAAGTTTTAACTCTGAAATCCCCAGGCCCTAATGTGTTTTCTGGAAGCTTCTACAACCCTTCACAGAAGAACTGATTGTTCATACTCTTTCCAGGTCAGGAGCGAGTTGCTCAGCTGTGAGGCCCACACCAGCCAGACAACAAAACAGGTGGAGGTGTGTGCAGACTGCAAACACTCAAAAGCTCTGTGCCTTCTGGACTGTGTGATCTGAATCCTGTGGAAATTAGAAATCAGTAAGCAAGACATGGTGGAACATCGCTGCAACCCCGGCACTAAGGATAGAGAGGCAGCAGAATTCAAGACTAAGGAGCAGACACCATAGCCCAGGGGATAAAAGTTGTGCTGTGCCTGGCATCCTGAGTTCTAGTCCCAGAACCCATTTAAAAGTGGAAAGAGAACACTGTTTCTATGGATTTGTTCTCTGGCCACCACATATACATTCAAATGCACACACACACATACAAACAATAATAAAATAAATTTTTAAAAGATAATTCAAGATTACCCTAGGATGCATGAGACCCTGTCCCTCAAACAACCATTGTGCCCCCAAAAGAAAAATAATTGGGCATGGTGGTGCATGCCTGCAATCCTGAGCACTCAGGAGCCAAAGGAACAGGAATTCAAAATCACCCTCAGCTACATAGCAAGTTCTGGTCCACATGGGCTACATAAGCCCCTGTCTCAACAAACCAAAGGAAGGAGGAAAAATAGGAAGGGGGAAGGGAGGGAGAGAGAGAGAGGGAGGAAGGAAGGAAGGAAGGAAGGAAGGAAGGAAGGAAGGAAGGAAGG